TTGTGTGATTATAGTACCAGGTATTTATCTCTCACTTTATGTGGTGTTTTGTGCAAATGTTGTTCTGATTTCCCTCTAATAGGTCCATGCTAATTAGCCAAGGGAACCATTTTATTAATCTCTGAAAACAAACATGTACTCTCACATTAAAGTTCAGAGTCATAATCTGAGCAGTTACTCTTTATCAGACAGGCTGCTTGTAGATTTAGTGTTTATGGGGTTCTCTGCACTCAGAACCATCACTCAGGCCAAACCTTACTATTACACAGCATTTCCCACATGTTCACAGAGCAGGAGGAAACAGTAGTCTGTCCCAGGCAGGGAGCTAGGGCCTCACATGTTTAAGTTTGACAAACTATGCCTATGAACTCTGCAACTACAGCAGCTCCAGCTGCGTTCTAATGAGCATTTATTGTGTCTCTACTGCAGTGAGCGCTTTGCAGAGCCTGCTTCAAAGCCGGCCAGATTCTACTCGAGCTGTTTTACAGATGCGTCTAGAAATCCGAGGCCGTTCTTCTGTGGACGAATGGTTCTGTCTTTTGCTCCTGACAGCTGCGCAGGCTTGTTGTTCGCTCTCTCCTGAGTTGTTTTAATAAAGTTGTGCTGCAGGAGTAGTGAGAGAAGATTAATGGACGCACAGGAAGTGTGGCAGTTGTGAGAGGATGCAGGACAGAGCGGGCCAGCAGCCATCTGTTCCCTCTCCTTTACAGCTCTCTTAATGGAGAAGCAAACCAAACAACATGGATCTGAGCCCTGCAGACAGACACGCACACACACGCACACACACGCACACACATGCACACCTCAGTTGCACACAGCTAAACACAAAACATCACTTTATGTGACAGAGATGAGAGCTAGGCTTTTGTCATTGTATTCCCTCTTGTTGGATGTGTGTGTGTGTGTGCACATGCTTGCTTGTGTGTGTGTCTATATGTGTGTGTGTGTGTGTGTGTGTGTGAGAGGGAGCTTTTTTTCTACCTTTCAGCAAAATAAAGTTGGGTGTGAGCCATGGCTGTGAGATTTAGATGAAAGACACAGCCTGGATGGAACGTGATTAAGAGATATGTTCTTGAGGCAAAACAGGACTTGGCATTTGCTGAGACAAAACCTAATCAAATTAAAGCAAAACATGGCCATTGTTGTGGAGTGTGTTCTCTGCCTGTGTCACGTTTGAAATGAAACAGTGTAAAATAGATATGAGCTTGTGTCTGCGCAGCATCACCGACACAGTGGTTTTATTCACATTTACACGCAGGCACTGACTAATGACGGTTGTGCCCAATGATGCCTAAAGCACTTTATAGAGCTGTCTGGGTTGTAAAAAATGTTTACTATGATGGAGCTGAATGGCTCACTGAAAGAGTATTATTGTTTACAAGTTATTGTTTTAGATTAATTCACTCAGCAGAATTGTTAAATTCTCTATCTAGCAGGAACGGCCACCTCCAGTTCATTCTTCCGTCAGTTAAGTATTTGCCGTTCCTCCTCCCTTGAGTTCCCACTCTTTGCCGGTGCTCCATTTTTATTATTAGCCTATAATGAAATCTATAGTCCAACTGTTTCTCATTTTGTTTGTTTTGAATGAACGCAGACCATGTCACGTTAAATGACAACATGCGTCGTCTCCCTCTTTCTCCCAGTGAAGACATCTGTACGACATGATGAAGTTTCCTCTCTGAGTATCAATCCTGTAATTGAGCTCAGGGAGAGGAGACGTGATGTGCACACAGAGGAAGTGAAAGGCCTCTCTCGCTCTCCATCCCTCCTTCTCTCCCTCTTTGCCTCCCTCCTTCCCTCTCTGTTTCTCTTACACACACACACACGTGTCCTGTTTTTTTTTTTCCAGGCACACGCAACTCTTTCTCTCTACCTGCTTTTACATTAAATTTGTCAGTCAGCTCTCTTAAGATGCACATCAGCTGAAATGAGTGCATTAGCATTAGCTGCCATAATATCGCTCACTGTTCAGGGCACAATGTACAATGGCCCAGGCCTCGGCAGAGAAGAGAGAGACACAAGTGGAATCTCATAATAGTGTCTTCACAAGCCTTTTCGCAACACTACATCCTGAGTGAGACAGCGTCCTGGAGCTACAGTGCCTTTACTCATGTCTCTTTATCTGTTTTGTAATGTCGCTTTCTCGTTGTGTTCTTACGATACCGTGGATCATGAGGAACCTGGAGTGAGACCGGATTAAATATTAACACAACCTGATGCAGTCCCCACCGGAGTTCCTATTCCACTTCACATGATACAATTAAAAACATTCCCACATGCATTGAGCGGAACACTTGTCAAGAACATGCTGCTTTACAGACTTAAAATAAATCTTATACTAATCTATGGAGAACCTGACAAGGAGGAGGCCAAGGTTTCCATGCAGGCACTTAGCTGAGTAGAGAGGAAAAAAATACAGAGAGATGAGGGCCTTACATTATTTATATGTGCTAATGGTGGCTGTGTGCGTTTGTGTGTGTGTGTATGTGTGTGTGTATGAATCAGCAACAGAACAATCTGCTAAAATAGACACACAGCTGTAATCAAGGCCTTACATTTCCTCTCCTTCTCCTGTTCTCTGCTAACTGCAGGGTCAATTGGAGTCAGTTTAGTAGCATTTGGAACTCTTGCAGTAGATTATCTCCTTTTAATGGAGACAAAAGACAATGCAGGAGTAGATTGCTATTGCCAAAGGATGAGATTACCTCTGCAAAGCTATCCTGGCTAAACATGTGTACAAAAGGAATACCTCACACAGTTCCTACTGTACATTAGATATCGTTGTTCATCTAGCACAGATAAGAACAATAGCCCACATGCGTAACCTAGTTTTGTCCACAAAAGGAATCCATTAGTCTTATTGTGCAGCCCTTAAGCTCAGCATCACAGGGGGGAACCCACTGTTGCGCTGCTACATCCACGCACATGTGCCTCTCATTTCCTATGGCAGTCCAGAAGTATCCTTCAACATCCTATTGTAAAGTTTACCAGGGGAGAGGTTCAGTGTATTAAAGTGCCCTGAGAGAAACGCTAAACGATGTAAATGCAGGCAGCTGCTTGTTGCTAATGCCGTACAGTAGAAGAGGAGGCCCAGGCGAGGTTGAATGTGTACAGTATCTATATAACATTAAGTACCTTCTCTTTCGATATCCTCGTGCTGTCTAATGGGAACAGTATGAAGACTAATGGTATAGTAAAAGTGTAGGGAACGGTGCTTCAAAACCAAACTCCACCAAATTCTGTTTCTGCTGTTGCTTCAAACAAAACACATTTGGTTGCAAAAGCTGCTTCAGTTGTGTATACAAATATTACTATGGCTTCAAGCTTTATTGATTTAATAGCCTGGTGATAACGGATGACTTTGGGCGGTATGTTATACTGTAGACTATTCATGTTCTGGTGTAAAAGTTCAAGATGCGATTCAACTGGTTAAATCAGGATGTCATCTTTCCCGCCGGTGAAAAAAAATAATTTATATATAATTATTAAAAAGTCCCTATGCCTTTATTATTTGGAAATGTAAACTGTCAACTCTCAAGCTGCTTAAGAAGATCCAAAGAAGTAAAATAAAACTATCTGTACCATATTGAAGTGCACAGCATCACATCGCATTGTGTTGGATCAAATCGTATCGAACCGCACTGCATGGCCATAGGTGTTTTGCATTGGTAGTTGCTTCTAATCTTTAATGGATCCGATCGCTGGCAATGCATCGAGATATGTATCACATCGGCCCCAGTGATGGAGTTCTACATCAGATACAGTAGACCAGTGCTTCATCTTAATGTGTCATACCCCCACAGGCCTCCATCGGCATCACCAGTCACGCTGTATGTTCATTTGAATAGATTTTAAACTGGATGTTATTTAACACTATTAATTATTAAGAATGTTGTTACAATCATTTTACGATATTTTTAATACAATTTAAATATTAATGTTTAGGTTGTTTGTTTAAGTTGAGGCTGAAGCTAGTTATTTTAATCATTTATACTTTATGTTTGGTTAATTGTTTCAACTATTTATCATTAGTTAACTAATTCAACCGTTCATTTAATCCTTGTAGTCTTTTTACTATTCCTCCGACACTTTTATCCAAACGTTTCAGCTGTTTTGCTGTTAGATATCTATTTCAGCCATCCTCTTTTAATTTAATTTATGTTTTTTCAAAATAGTGTTTTGAAGCTATTCCACATTCTTTACACATACCTCCTGCTAACTGCAGAAGTACCCCTGGGGTATAAGTACCCCTGGTTTGGAATCACTGCTGTACCATGTGGTCATTTGCCCCAAATCTGTTTCAACCATCAAAATAGCATGGAACATAAATGACCACGTAACCCACAAACTCTAGAAAAAACGTTTTTAATTGCGATAAAGATAAATAGTCCAACAAAGCACTATTTAGAAAAACAAATACAGCAACACTGTCTCTGATCATCATTTGATAGTGTGCTGACACGCAAACTCTATTAAGCTGTCTTCAAATATGCAAAAATGATATGATTTTACAATGATTACATATTCACTTCCCCAGCTGGCTGGCTCCAAGCGTCTCCATTTGTCATCGACTATTGTGTCCAATTATATGATTAGCTTTGAACACTCCAGCACTTCGAGAGCTCTCGTGTGTTCTGCCGCGCAGAGTGATTCACAAACAAAGTCATTACAACATGTATTCACACATATCAAATAACAAAACAGATGGCCACTGCGCTCGCCGCCTGATTTGTTTTCCACACGAGTGGTAGAAAAAAAAAAGAGAAGTATTTTGTGTGAGCTGTGTTTAATGCTGACTGTTTTTATTCCCAAAGAAGAGCAGCTGGCTGTCGCGCTGTTAGATCAGCTCCTATGAAAGACAATCTTGTTTTCATTAATTTCTCTACAACAAAGGCACTTGTTGGGAAGATTTAGAATTACAGCGGGTAAAGCTTCCGGATAATTCATCACAGGGACTTGACAGGAAACTTAATTGTTTTAAATGCCAGTTGCTGTGAGCAGCGTGGCTGGTTTTTCTTTGATGTCTAACAGGTGGGACAGATAGACGACTCTCTGATGTTTCATTTGACCTTTGACTTCTTGGTTATAAATCCACATGTAGTCCACCGGCCAATAAACCTATCATCATGTGATGAACTGCAGTTCCCAGAATTCCATGTAAGATGGAAATCTTGTAGCCTGCCTCCTCTTATTAAAACCGTGTAAATCTTGCCCATCTATGTCCTACAGTCTGTCCAGTTCTTGACCTATGAACACTGTACAAACCAACTAAGAACCATATGGACTCCCAGTGCAGTTTATCCTTTTACCACACTCCCTCAGCTCATGTAACTGAGCTTGCTTGTGAAGATGTGAGAACATTAATACAACGAGAATATTGCACAGTATATAACAGTTTATTTAGTTTTCTTTGCAATTGATCATCCATACAATAACCATTCTCAGAATTGCTGTGGTACATCTGGTTACACCACAGGGTGTCTTGACTGTCTAATTGCATGAGACACTACATAGTTACTCAGCTACACTAACTCACTGTCTAATCCGGTTAAGACTGTGTAGGTGTGACAGACACGCTAACTTGATTATTTTAGCAAATGGCAACACCAGATCAATTCTTAGCTCGGTTGATATTTGTGCAGGACACCTATCAAAACCGTCAAATTCAAATCGGAGTTTTTTTTCCTTCATTTAAATTAAACAGTCTATTCATAGAGATAGAACTGTCACACATTCACTACCTCCTATCTCATCACTTCATTTGTCTGTCATTTGAGGAATACGTTGTGGATAAATTGCAGGGTCTTGCATCGTGGTGCTTATACTCACAGCAGAGACCTGACATTAATGTATCCCTGTACAGAAAAGGTTTTTCTCTTTTAAGGTTAAGGTTGCTTTAAATCTAGTAAATAGCCTCCCTGACATCTCTTCAGGATGTTACTGTAAATGCACTTTAAGTGACTGAATCATTTAACATCTAATCAATACGATTCGCATTGCACCATGAATACACTTTAGTCTGATTCGTGTTTGAGGAAGCTGTTACGACTGGTAGTTAACAACTTCTCTGTGGTGAGGTGGAATGGTTATTTCACAGAATAAAAGCTCAAATGTTTGATTTTATAAAGCCAGCTGAAATGTGATAAAATGCAGATGCAAAATAGTATAAACAACTCGAAGAATCAAAAACCTTGCACTATTTATTTTAGAAGTAAAGAAAGCACTGTTTGTCTTGCTCTGGCAGGTAGATGGGATCTAGCTGTGCCATGCTGCCCTCACCTGGTCGATACATTTACAGCACCATTCAAGATGCTTGTGTTATAACTATGTGCTGTATCAAGTGTTTGGGCTTAAACTCAATAAATATAAAATTGTGAAGTGAACCAGTCAAACAAACGTAGTTTATTTGCACCTTGTGTGCATGACATCATGCAGCACTGATGGTTATATTTAAGCCATGATGCGGAACGGAGGTGCTACAGAGTTGAAGTTGCAAATATGCTGCAGCGACCAAACAAAAGCAGAAACCTTTAAGAACCCACCACTGTTTCCTGTAGGTTTCCCCCCGCTGAGACAGTCAGGCCTTTTATAGATGCCGGTTGACGTAGTGACAAGGCCGAGAAGAGTTTCAGTGTTTATTCATAATAATACAGCAAACACTAAGATACTGTGGGCTATGTTTTTAATGACTGTGAGCTTCATTTACGTCTGCATGTATTACACTTGAGCCACAGATACCCGTGCGTTGCCTGCCAGAGCAAAGATGCACAGAAAACATCTCAAGTCTCATGGGTGAGTCAATCAGCTCTGAACACAGATGTTTTTGCCACAACAGCAGTACTCCCATACTGTGAGTGTAAATTACACCTTGGAAATTAATTGCAAGTTTTGATCCTTTTGATAATGAACCATATACACAGTGATGCATTCAGTGTTACATTGTGCCAAAGCATGCACAGTATATAACAGCGTGCTGTTTGACATAAAAGTTTGATGGTTGCTTCATATCATCGCGCTAGTCAGGTTGCTCATTGATCGGACGCTGCCTGTGTGTGTGTGCCTGCTCTTCCGTCTCACACTTCGCAGATAGTTCCTGTACAGAATCACGCTGATCACCCTGTCCTGGAACTGCTTGGAGACAATGTAGTACAGTATGATATCTAACACGGTGCTCAGGTTCATCAGGAATGTGGTGAAGACTGCCCATGTGCTAAACCCCCCATCTTTGCCATCCCCCAGCAAACGGAGCACCAGACACACGTGGAAAGGCACAAAACACACCAACACTTGGATGATCAGTGTGATGATAATCCGGATGGACTTCTGCTTCACTTTTGGCTTGAGTTTGGAGGTGCGTCCGTGGATCAGATTATCCACAATGACAATATAGCAGCCAATCATTATACAAATGGGAACCAGGAAGTAGAAGATGAGTCGCACAAAGTTGACGGGGTTGTCGTGGCGCATGTAGATGATGTCTTGCATCTTGATGCAGGTGGTGTAGTTAGAGATGCGATCGGGGTCCTCCTCAGAGAAGAGAAGGGGCACAGTGGAGCCCAGAGTCATAAGCCACACCCCAAGACTCGCCACCACAGCCTTTGGGACATTCCTCAGCTCTTTGCCGTGCTTCGGCTGGACGATGGCCATGTAGCGGTCAGCACTGATCAGAGCAAACAGCCACAGAGCCATGCAGGGGTAGAAGATTGTGAGAGCTGCGCTGATTCTGCAGAAGATATCTCCAAAGGGCCAGTAGTCCTGGTGGTGGTAAACCATTCTGAAGGGGAGCAGCAGGATGAAGGTGAGGTCCACCATCGCCACGTTTATCATGTAGACGGTGACAGAGTTCCTCTTCTTGGTGGTGAGGGCAAACACCCACAAAGCAGTGACATTGACTATGACTCCTATGATGAAGACGAAGCTGTAGAAGATCAGGCCTAAGATGCGGTACTCCACCGGCCCCTGCTCCAGCTGTGACTCGACAGACATGTTGGAGAGGTTTAGGCTCAGATTCATTCTGAAACTTACAGAAGACAGAAAGATATAGGGGATTATTTCCACTGAGCAATTCCTTTATCATATTTTTTTGCTCTTTATATCCCATTTGTTTTCATGATTTGAGTTGAAGTCCTGTTAATGAACTTATATTGAGACATCATGTGCTTCTACCAAGGTACCAAGGAAATAATATTTTGACCACATGTATAAAATGTAATAACTCTAAGAAGAGTGGTTATTTATAATAGCATTAGAAACACATTTATTTTAACAGTTTAACAAACTTATTATTGTGTTGTTGTTAAACCTTCACTTTTTGATTTCAACTTACTTTATTATGCATTTAGTAACAGCTAACAATGTTTTATAGGGTAGCCGATCTAAAGTGGGAACTGGTTAATAACACAAGCTTAGCACATGCAACCACCCAGTTGTTTTTACATTTTTAATATTGAGGTCAACTACATTGTTAAACATTTTGCAAACTTGATATAAAACATGAGTAATCATATCAACATGAGAAAAAATGAATATGGAATTTAAAAAAAACAGATCGTTCTTAATTAAAGAAAAAAAGCATTATTCCATTAAACAATGTATTGGTAATACATATCAATGATCAGAAACAACAGGATGTTTGTGTAGTGCAACATGGCCGCCTGGAACCATTGGCAAGAACTTTAGAAAGAACATTTCTCATTTCTTTTTGCAGTGGTACAACACTGGAAATGCACATTACTCTTCCACTGCTATTTGTTCACAGGACCCACTAATAAAAGTTTACTGTGTCTAATATATCAACACATAGCAAACATTGTTTACAACAGTGTTCTCTTCCAACATGGAGGAACTATGAGCATTGCAAACATTCTGAGAAAAGCCTCTATTCTTTAAAATAAATATGTCAGGTAACAATATCCTAATAGAGGCCACTCTTATTGTCCAAAGTGCACAATTAAGAATTTATTAACCTCAATCAGCATTGTTCCCACCTCCTTTTTCCATTGTTCTGTTGTTTTATAGAACACACTTCCATCAGTACTTGGTGTTGAGGTAATCCAAAAGTAACAGAAAGTAATCAAGTTTCATTACTTTAATATTGTGATACTTAGATTAGGTTACTGACAGGTAATTAGTTACTGTATCAGATTATTTTTTAAAGTAACCGCCCAGCCCTGTTAATAAGTTAACTGTTAATGAATGGATAATAAAGTATATAGAAATCTTAATCATGCCACTAGGTAAATTTGTTAAACTCAAATGTGTTTGTAATGATATAAACAATTATAAGAAACTCTTATTAACTTTATTAAGCTATAAACAGTTTCTTATAAGTTGTTATAAATGATCCTCTAATAAACGTTGGTAACACCTTATATTAACATACACATATTCACTATTGCTGATTAGCATGCATATTATAAACATATTAGCTCTTTATTAGTCATTATAAAGCATTTATTGCCGTATGCTGCATGATCTACACCTATACTAGGCCTTTTTTTGTTTTACTGCTTGATGGTAATCAAGGCACTTGTACATAAATTATGATCTTAATTTGCTTTGCCCTGTATGGGCCTTACAAGGTCATTGTTGGATACCACAAGGGTACTCATTCTCCCTTAATAACATTTAAAACATATGGTATATTCTTATGTGTCAAAACACAGAACTAGTGTTAATAGTGTTCAAATAACTCTAAATTTAGAGAATCTCAGAATATGTTCCCTATTCTAAAGTGACATCTTGCTCATAACTGATATTCTTTGCTCAGTCTGGACCAAAGTCAGACTAGACAAGACTTTGAACTATTGAACTTGTATTCAACTCGAATTGAAATCTTTTTCAATTCATTAAATTATCACAGTGAGGTCTTGCTTATGAGCAAGAATGGTGAATATTTTCTGAGTTAGACTTAGTTTAGAGTTATTTGGAGACTATTAGCACATGCAGTTATAGTGCTATTATAAGACACACACTGAACAACTTCCTTACTTACTGTAAATAAGAGGTTGTTGTGGGAGAACTCCTAATGGCCTATCAGTTATAGAACATGGTCATGCAAAATGAGGAATTAATACGTGGTTTATCATGACAGAAGAACCAGTATGCTAATAAACATGCTAATAAACAACTAAATAATGGTGAATATGTGTGTCATAATAGAAAGTATTTATTGTGTTGATAATATCATCAGATGTTAATATAAAGTGTTATCCAAGGTTTAAATGCTCCAAGGAGCAACTTACTTTTGCTCAATATGTTTGAAAAACAAACAAAATACCAGTATAATCACATTTAGGTTTTGTGTTTGAAAGAGAATACAAATGTATGAAACAATCAGGAGGTTGACTTAGCCAGAGGTTGCTTCCAAATAAGTACATATCTGTATCGTTTTACAGTTTGCAGAACTTGCTGCTTCATCATTTGAATAGTTATTTTTAAAAGCTGTGCAGCTGCAGTGTGAAAGACAGTAAAAGACGGACTGTGTCTTTCTAAATATGTGTGTGTGTGTGTGTGTGTGTGTGTGTAAAACAAAAACCAGCAAACAAATAAAAATACATATATATACATTACACTGTAGAAAGAAAGAAGCGCTGTAATCTGTGGTAATGGTAAACTATGTAGAAGTGAAAGTTTTATCTGAGAAACTGATGCTATGTATTGATAAAAAATCATGTGACTTCCCTGTCTCACACTAAAGTATAATTTTTTTCCATTGTACTGTCTGCTGTGTCTATTGCGAATTGTGACTGATGATTTACAATCAGGAAACCAATTAATGCAAAGCTGCCGAATAAAACAAACAAGTCGAGTTTATCACAAAACTCCAGAATACACATACAGCAGGGTGACAGTAGAACACGTCTGCCTGAATTACTTTTCACCTCCATCTTAAAGGTCAAACAGATCAGGTAGCCTTGCCTGGACAATAAAAGACTGCACTTACCACAGAAATCACACAAACATCTTGACAAGCTTGCGCCAACAGGTTTATGAAGCAGCACAGCGATTTATCTGAGCACTCAGCCAAAACAGGGAAGTGAATGCTTTCTCAAAGGGTAATGTGATGGAAATGGTGGCGAGACTGAGCGTGGTGTAAAGCCCCCATCACTTCCTGTGTCGGCCGTGTGCTAAGTTTGTACTTTAGATTCCTTTACAGTATCTACGTAGTTGGAACACAAAGGGCTACAGCTTTCCACAGTCTGCAATTACACCCCCTTAAAGAAAATGATGTGCCATTAGAAGTGGGAGTGTGTTTGGCAGGCAGAGAGATGGCAGATTTAGGGCGAGTTATTGATTGGAAAAGTGGGGTCTGTCACAGCACATTAGTTCTCAGGGGAGTAATCCACAGCAGGTTGCTGTGAGAAGCATCTGCTGCTGGAGAGAAGTAATTAAAAACAGGATGTTGAGGCAGTTGCCATATAAACAGGAAATAAGACGGTGGTAATAGACACTTCACGCTGATGCTGTGAGATGGTTTTACACCACGTCGACTTAATGGATGCAAAGCGCATACCTCAGGTGAAAAGCTCAAGGTCAGGCTGGACCTGGACTGAATACAGATTAATGTGTGTGATTAATGAGTGTGTGAGCTGCTAACAACTATGAATTAGGACATTTGGCTCAAAGAACACAGTGCGATCAAAACTTCTTCCTCTTCTCTCCTAACTGGTACTTTCCAGTGGATCTTGTAAAACAGAGAGTAAATCATACTTTCCCACGACTTACAGCGTTTCCTGCTTTGTGCGGTCTGATTGTTGACTGCTCTACACTGTTGGTTTTTTCGAAGCCGCGCATTCAGTCTGATTCTTATTCCCGGGAAATAATTATCTATCGGCTTGTCCTCTCGATGTGTCTTAAAAATCTCATACCAGATGGTACTTTGTGTTCATTGCAATATGTTGTTATGACAACAGTCTGTGTGATGTTTTCCTCTCTTTGATACTTGTCATGTGGTTGCCTCAGCAAGTCCCTCACTCCATAATAAATCCGTGGTCTTCATTGTTCACCTGTATCATAAACCATATAAGTGCATTATTAGATATCTATCTAGACAACAACAGGTTCTAAATCATTTTATCTTATACACAATTTTTGTTTAAAATAAAACAGGCAATGGTAGAATTAAAAAAAAAGTTGAATTGATGCTCTTTTTTTACTTATTTTTCATATTTAGGTTTGATATGTAGGGTGCCTGAGATAAGCCCATTGAACTTCCTGAACTATCACCTCTTTATCCTGTTTTACACTGTCCTCTAGAGGCTGAAAATCCTCACTACACAATTTTCTGACTTTTAGGCCTACTAATCGATTTATTCATGGAATAATCAAATTCTTATTTGTACAAGTCAGACTAATATATTAGATAATATTTTATCCGTGGCAATTAATGCTGAGAAGGACTTAACAGACCTTTGAGCTACAAAAAAAAAGCCTTAGTGGGATTTCTACTACGTTATTAATTATGTGGCTATGTCTCTTTTTCTCCACCCTCTTTGTTTCTCTTTTTTATGTCTTCTGTCTTTTTCTTTCTCTCCATCACTGGCTAGAGTTGGTAACTAAAGATGGCGACTTTAATTCAAAAGTTAAAGACTTTAAAGACCCCCACAGACATTTTGAAAGAGATAAAAAATACTCTATTTGAATGATAATGTGTGTGATATGTCTTTTTTTTTTTTTTTTACAAAAAAATAAGTCAGTTACTTAACATTGCATCTACTCTTTCTCCTTTGTTGACAAATACTAATCTATGAATATGTATTATTGTTATATTGTTAATTTGGAGTTGGACACAAGTCAAGATGTCTACTTCACAATAAAGTCCATGTGTGAGCTCGCTTGGAGGCTTCATATTTTCACATCTTGCATGAATGTTGGACCACAACTGACTTCCGTGGCTAGTGGTGAACACATATTAAACTCAGAGCACAGAGAAACTTCACCTCTTCAGCAGATGAAAATAAAACCATTCCAGTATCAATCTCTGCACATACATCATTCTGCACAGTGAAGGTTGTAAGTGATGTAACAATTAGCAAAGCAAAATTTTGAGTGGAAGGTGATTTTAAATCAAAAGAACATTTTTCAAATAAAAACAGAAACAATTTTCTGGACAGCACACAGATAATGAAATAATCATAATATACCTACACATCTGAAATGGCCATGTTTAAGATGTTTAGATAAATTGTGTTAAGTTCTCTGATACTTCCAAACCATCCCTTCAAAACGGGCAGATGGCAATTATATGTGTGAAATACAGTGTTCATTACAATACAAGTAGCTAGGCTATCAGCAAGGGACATTTTTCAGTCAAATAAAATGAAAAAAATATAAAATCATATGAAGAGGTCAAGAGGCAAGTAAACATCTAATAACACCCTTTAGTCTGTTACACTTGATTGCCTTGAACTGTATATCGGAGTTTACTGCATTCATTTGCCCAGAATCAAAGAGATCAGGGTATAAAAGTGTGTGTGGGTGTGTGATCTTAGAACAGAGGATTCACTGTAATTTTCTTAAGTAATGCAACTTACTTTCAGTATTGATTCATCTGCTGATTATTTGTTTGATTAATTGTTTGGTCTGTAAAATGACAGATTTCAGTGTCAGTGCTGATCACTGATTCTCAATGTCCTAAACCTGAAGTTGACGTTTTCTGAAGCACTGAATTGTTTTTGTTAACTGTTGCACATGTTTTGCTCTGTGGTTTTGTTGGAACAGTGACAGTGGTTATGCTGGATGATTATCAACCTGATGAAACTAATTCTGCTGAACTTTTCCCCATTGCTCTGTCATTCTTGGCTTTATCTTCACCTCTGTCTTGTTTGTGTGCCATCTGTTGTTGACGCCTTCTGCTGTGATCATACATACAGAATACTTAGGTGAAAATTGTTTGTATTTTGCTTGCTATTGTTCGCCAACTTTTTTGCAAAGGTGTGACAAAGTAAGATTTTCCGGCAATAGCTTTGTAAATAAATAAATAAATGTCATAATTAATGCAGAGGTGAGTGTACTGTAATGAACCTGAGAGCAAAATGGTAAACTTTGTGTCTATAACGACTTCTTTAAAATCTAGAATTCATTATTTAGGAAAAATCACTGAATAAATCAATATGCACCACCCGAATATAAAGACAGACAATACAAATAAAATTTAAAGTGAGCTTCTTCAGGGCCCGAACACTCACAGATACTTCCCTTAACCCCTAAACCTAAACCACCTAAACCACTGACCCCCGAAATCACAGATAGAGCTTTTGTCCTCAATGGGTCTGTTCAGTCTGTTCAATGTGTCCCTGAAGGTAGCCTATAGTGTGTTGAGTAGTCAGACCCAGTCACACACAGACAGATTTGTTTCTTGTTGTCTTTCTATAACCATAACCACATACTTTCGCTACCAATTTTTGTTAGTTGCCTAACTTTAACCACTTGCCATAACCATATTCTTGCTCTTAACCGTAACCACATCATAGTCAAAATGTAGTTGCTTGGTTACTTATTCCTTACTGTAGAGATAAATAAACAATACATTTTTGAAAATGTTGGCAGAAACATCCAATATCAAGGTTTTGTCTCCCAATAGTTTGTTGTACTGCACTTTGGTAGCATTGTTTGTAGATTTAAATTTGGACCAATAATGACTATGTGTGTCAAAGTACAGTAGATTTTCTAACCAGAGCCGACTGTGCCATGTTACAGGGCTCCTACATTAATGACAGTAGAATTGAGTTGACATAAAATGATGAGCAACACAGGGCCCAAAATGGATCCTTGGGGGACTCCCTTAATAACCACAGCCAATCACGGTTGGGGAATTGTGCTTATAGGGGAATGGCTTAGACAGTAAATGATTCACTGCAAGCTGATGACTTTGGTTTTCTTGATCACAAATGGTGTGTTTAAAAAATATTTTCTCCAATACAAAGTTCCATCAAATTAAACTAATCTGACAGCTGTTATCAGAGTGCAGTGGGGACACCAGGTATTGGTGTTTTTACATAAAGTAAAAGTATTCTTAAATCTGACAATAGAAGAAGACAAAGTGACATTTTTTTGACTGTCCAAAATTCTTCAACATCTCTTAACACTGAATAGTTTTAGAAACAAATGTTTATTTGTTTTAATGAGGTGACAGGGATGTTTGGAGGTAAAGAGAAGAGGGTTGAAGTGCAGTCTATGATTTAAAGGTATCTGTCAATGACACAACAACTTCAGCCTAAAATATACTGGATACATTTTTGATGCATTACAGTATAGTCTCATCAATTAGCCCCCACATCCCTTTGTTCCCTAAACTCTGTCAGAGTTCTATAAAGGGGATAAAAACATAATACAAAACACTAACAGAGAAACACTTGAAACAGTTCCTTTGTGAAAACAGATAAAAGCCAATCTTAAAATGAATAACAAAACAAAAAAAATTATAATTAATATTTTGGTAGCACTCCATATAACAAACTATCTAAGGTCCCCTGTGGAGTTTTAGACCTCTAGTAGTGCTATGGAGCTGTTTTTAATGAGTGGGTCCCTGTTTTGTTCATCTCATCAACCTTCACACAGTTGATGCAATTTCACATTCCTACCCATGGTTCCACTGATCTAAAGGTGTTGATAACACATCAAGATGTGCTGCAGTGCACCAGCAAAGGCAAGGAAGAAGGCTGCAAGCTAGTAAACATGAATGTATACTCAGAAGAATTAGCTTTGCAAATGTTTTATGAAGAAATGAAATGCAGTTAACCTTAACCTCAAGGAAACACAAAATACATTATTGCGAATAACATAACTCTTGTTAAAACAGATCTCCTTTAAATTAAGTTACATCATAGACCACACCTACTTTTATCAAGAGGAAGTGCACGTTAAAGCAGGCAAACATGTGCTGGCAGCTGAAATAATGAGTGTACAGTTGGTCAATGTTCCTGAGACATTACAACTGTGTGCTGCAACTGTGTGCTGAACTGAAACTTGAGGTTGTGAGTCTGATTTCATTTTGGAATGAAACTTATATCTACTTCTACTTTAACATCTCAGTTTGTAAAAGTAACACTGTGAGGATAGGCTCAGGTGTGTGGTCCTTGTTTGGTTGTAAATATTATTGCAAATATGTTGCTTTGATTTTTTTTTCTTTTAGTAATATAACTCTTCACATATTGTACATGAACACACTTCATATCCACTCGTTGATGTTCATCAATGTCTCTTTCAGCTCTGTATTGGTTGACTGGCCACTTCCACCATGATCTGCTTCATGCTCTACCTTATCAACATTAAGTCTATGGGCAGGAGACAAGCTTGCTTTATGAAGTTTTAAGTCCTTTCTTTCCTTAACTGCAATGATCTGTGCTTTCCTGAGTAATTCACTAAAATTAATAAGAAAATATATAAACATAGGAAGTGTTGAATTTTCCTTCTTAAAATTCTGAGTCATTCTGTTAATGTTCTTTTTACAAACCTTCCCTTGTGTAAACTAATCAGGTCCAAAAGAGCTGAATTTCTATGGATCCAGATGCTGAGTAGCTGCTTGGAGTCCTTGATGGAATGAGTGAGTCACATTATTGGACTGGCCTTGATTAACGCAGGCCCACGCGTAAAAGGTCCTTCATCTTGTGTAACTCTCGGTGCCTCAGTTCTCTCATTTACTCATACCGCAGTACTCTCCTTTCTGAGAATCTCTCACTGGTTGAACCTATAGTACAACTGTTGAGTTGGATTTTGTTGCCATCAATAACATCCTTAGAGGAGCCTTCTGGTGACGTCCTCACTGCACTGGAGAAGGACATGCTGACCTGTAGCTTCAGCAGCTTCAGAAGTTTCCTCTTGTAGCCCTTACAGGCGAAGAAATAGATAAAAGGATCCAAGCAGGAGTTGAGGTTCATCAGGCACACAGTGATGTGCAGCGATACCTGAAAGGCTGTGAGATCAGCACAATCAGGGCTTGACACCAGCTTGCGGATCATGTACTGCAGGAGGTCAATGTGATAGGGGCTGTAGCAGACAACAAACACCAGGGATACGCAGCAGATCACTCCGATGACCTTGCGGCTCCGACCGGACTTATCTGTTAAATGGTTCTTCTTGGCTGTGAAGTGAAGTTTGGAGCACAAGACGGAGTAACACACTAGAATGGTCACAATGGGGATGATGTAACCAAGGAAGACGGCACCGATCAGTATAGTGGCAATGTGGTCGACCGTCTCAAAGTTGGGGTATTCCATGCAGGTGATGTATCCATCCACTTCTTTGTTGGTCATACGCATGTTCAGCAGGGGGAGGGTCTGTGCCAGGACCAGCATCCACACACCAACACAAATGTAGCGCACATTACTGACCTTCCTGAGTCGGGAAAAGCGCAGAGGCAGGACCACAGCGATGAAGCGGTCTACACTGAGGCAGGTCATGAAATTGACCCCTGCGTAGGTGTTGATGTAGAAGATGAGGCCTGAGATCTTGCACATCGCCTCACCCAGAGGCCAGTGGAAGCCCAGAGCATAGTAGGCAATCCTCACAGGCAAAGAGAGGGTGAAGAGGATGTCAGAAATAACCAGGTTGAGAGAGTACAAAGTGGTGGAGTTGATCTTCTTCATGTTTGGACGGATGACGTGGAGCGCGAGGCAGTTACCGAACAGTCCCACGAAGAACACAATGCAATAGAACAGAGGCATGAGGACCCTGGCATATTCCCGGTGGGCGTACAGAGTACTACAGGTAGAAATATTAGAGTCACTGTTGCTGGATGAGAAGTTCAAGGTCACAGGCACAGTGGTCGAACCCATCTCTATATTGCAGGAACCAGTAGCTGCAAAAGGAAGAATAAAATGTGTTGATAATTTGGTTAAGAGAGAATTTAATTTAGTTTCTTTCTCCTCCCATCCAAAAACATAAAAAAAAGAAGCTTTTAAAGGAAGCAAAATCAGACAGTCAGTTAGAAACAAAAACAAGAAAACATTAAGCTTCTGTCTATGTTGAAATGAAACTCCTTTTGTCTCATACAACCCTGTCACAAGAGCACATGCAAGACCTTGCTTTCAAAAAGGAAGCAAAATAAGTTACAGTATTTCTCATTAATGCTGACACTTACTGTCTGATTCATGAAAAAAAAAAATCTGATAATGTAAGAGGGTTTCTTTGAATTGTAATAAATTATCAAAAACATGCAATTGATTTCATGATTTCATACATTGAAGGCTCTCACACATAATTAACAAATGCATAAGTGTGATATGACTGTCACTGTCCTTGTTTCACCCTTAGCTGACTAACACAATGTTTTTGGTTTTCTAGTAGATTTATGATCAGTTGCTTGCAACATGTTTTATCTAATGCTGTAATTGTTTTGTGGTGTGTAGTGCCATCTTGTGGTTCTTTTTGAGCAAAGCCCAACAGAGACCTTCAATTTTACCTCAGTTTTACTAATCAAAGCTTTGCACAATTATGCCTTCACATTTCTTAAAAATGTCTGATATGCTCTGGTGTCTTACTGCAGCTGTATGTTTTCACTTAAATAAGTTTTTAGCATTTTATCCTAACATATAAAGTCATAGCTTATTATTTGGACATCAATTTTCAACCTGTTTACTCAATACAATTAAGCAGTTTGGAGAGATACCACCATCCTCTACCACTATTAACCCATTAAACTACTGTGTGTGTTATGACTCACAGGACATAGCTGGGTTTGCAGCTTAAAGTGAAGGAAGTCTGTGAACAATAATGGGACTTTTACTATGATTCTGACTGCAGCTGCAGCACTCTCACACTTACACTGCAAAGTAAACTTTGTGTTGAAAGACAGCCTTGCATATGAGGAAGTCAGCTTCCCCAGGGTGTTCTGCCTCAGAATGGCATGCAGTTGGAAAGTCATATTGTCTGAGCTAAAATTATAACACGCTTAAGCACATGGTGCAGTGGAGAAACATGTTTCCTGGTCCATTAACACAAGTGACAGGATATCTGGGGCAAACATGCAGAAAACACTACCGATCAAAATTAAGTTATATACATGAATGTAGCTATTTGAAAATAAATCTGTGTTTTATGTCAAGAATATTCTTTGTACTTTTCTAGACACTCAAACTATTGTGAAAGTGGGTTCCTCCGAATGGTGAGTGTCGTAACTGTGATTGATTGTTTTCCCTCTCGTATGAATAGGTATTTTCAGCGCTGAATTCCCCTAGACTTCCAGTGCTGTTTCTTAACCCAGTTATGTTCAGCTTTAGATAGTATAGTGTGTAAAGGTGTGATAATTTGCCATTTAACAATGCCATGCTGTAGTATATATGCAAATTTAGTATGTCACTTGTTTTGCAAGAGTAGATTTCAGACGTTTGTGTGTAATAGATACCCGCCTCTGGAATACAACACAGTTTCACAACAAAAAAAAAATCATTACGAGTTAAACTGTAAACCCAAAACAGTAATATATGTTATCCAAATACATTATCCCCTGTAATATCCAATCTGTGTCACCATTAATGATTTACCCTGACCCTAAAAAGAAAGAAGTTTGGAAAAAAAACTTACCTCACTGATGGAATAAGTTTTTCTTGATATTTACTGAAGCCACATTAATCCAGAAACCTCACACGTCCTGTTCAAAGTTTATCTAAATTATAAGATTCTGTTCCGACAGCACTACAGCCACACTGCCCTGAATGAGAGCAGCATGACATACAGAAATCAAGATCCGTATCTGCTGCCAGTAACCATAGTGACAAAATATCCTGTTGCCCTCTCTCTCTTTGTCTCTCACTGCCTGTGTGTGTGTGTGTGTGTGTGTGTGGGGGGGGGTGTTTGTACCTCCCTCACTTTTGATAAACTTTCAAACATTCTATCTCTCAGTACACACCTTTGAAACACCCAACAAGTGTCCGTCATGTGACACTAAACTGACATATGTAATATTTCATTTGGCCTTTTTGATCGATAAAGCAGTGTGGGCTGAACCATCTGTGACATATTTTGGGAAAGGAAAATCTACTTTCATGGTGAATGTGTACTCTTGGGAGGATGTGGCTTTAGCTGCACAGATGAGACTGTCCACAGTCTAGTTTTAATCAGACAAAAAAAGACTCTATCCCTAACCCCTTTACTAATGCCAAAGCTGCTCATAATAATTAACGTTAACATTAAAATGATTTTTCAGTTTCAGATGAATTTTACTTTAGACTATGTAAATAAGTGAAAGAAAAAATGAGGAACTTCCCCTTTGCTCTAGAAGCACCTTTGTTTTGATGTTTTTTTTTTTGCTCAAAATGACATTCAGAGAAAGAGAGCCCCATATGACTCATTTAGGTACAAACTATTTTTTTTGAAAGATATAGAATAATTGCTAATTTGTTTTCAAACACTGAGTTTGTGAGAATCACCAGTTACTTGTAGTGAGAGCAAACAGATGCCACAGAGTCAAAAAGCAAACACAAATATAGGTGATGGTTTATGGTGTGGGAGTAGCAGCATACTGTAAAAGCACAGATATTCTTTAGAATGTAAGATCAGAGAACGTTTGAAATGTAAGATGTGGTCAAGCCTTGATATATTACAAGCAAGAAAAAGAGAACAAAGAAAATGTGCATTTAAACAGTGGATTGAACAGACAATATTTGAATCAGGGTTGTCGAACATATACTTATATTTTAGGTACTAACTGTTATCCTGTGGTTTTGACACCTTTGAATTGCTCCCGCCCTTCAGGGCACTATATTCTCGCAGCTGCAGGATATGCACTATGACAGCACATGCAAAATGTCCTGTATAAATGTTTACGTGTGCATATTTTTTTGAATCAAGTATTACTAAATTAATAAAATGAGAAAAAATTAATAGATGTGCTAAGTTTTGACTTATTTACAAGAAAATGTTACTGTATAGGGAATATATAGGATTGTTCTGATACAGCATAAATAAAGATAAAAAAGATAAAAGACAACTAAATACAAATAAAACATATTCATAAGAATCATATTCCGTTTTTTATTGACAACAACCTCTCTTTGTTCAAAACAAGTCCGGTGGTGAGGCAGAGGAAGCAGTTCAACTTCCTCATGGCCTAGCCTTGTGGATCTGACTCATTGGGCACCAGACGGCCATATCCCACCCTTCGCTGACAGACACCAGACATGGTGTTCTGCCATGGCTATTCATGGAGGACAATGGAGCTGAATAGCAAAGAAAAGTCACTTACAATGTCTTTACACATTATTCCGGTTGTTATTGGGATCTTATTTTCAAATGAAGATATAGACGGATGATTACGGTCATGATGACAAATAAATAAATAATCAGCAAAAACAGATTGTGAGACTTAGACGATAGATTTCTCAGAGCATTTGATACCAATCAGTGTTATCTGTACATCCTGTGCATAATAAGGAAGTTATGAGAGAGTAACTTCAAAAAGGATATCCTCTTGAGTTGCATCTGTTGAAATATACATTAACATCACGTATGTGTTACTGACCGTTGACTCTATTGTAGCTTTCAACTGATGCTCAAATTTACTTTGCCCACCAAGTTTATACAAGAGACAACAATGACCAGTTCAGAAGTGCCATAATGGTAGTATATTCCCACTGTATACTACTGGTACACTACTATTTCTTTCTATGTATTTATTGTGGCTATGATTTCTTTGCACTTTGCAATCTTAGTTTGATCACTGTGTGACACTGCTGCCTGGAGTGAATAAATCTTAGCAGTGCTTTTGCTCTTTGGTACTTAAATAGGAGAGTTCTCGATCTAAAATAAAAACATTGCAGTACCCTTTTCAAGTGTACTCCATATTTCATGAACTGAATAAGCATTCACGTGTAGCAGTTTTGCTACAGTGTGACTGTTACTATATGGTGATTTGTCAGTGAAGTGTCAAAGTGTGAAATTCTCTCTGCTGCTGCTCAGCACGTGGTTTTGATAAGATTGCAACATTTGTACAGGAAACTCATGTGGCTGTTCTTCTAACTTCTTTGAAAAGAAAACATGGGTTGGGTAAAAAAAATTAACGCCAGACTGCTAAACTGATGATATTTTACAGTACTTGATTCGGAATAGTCAACTATGAATTCAAACAAAATATTTTAATTGGTTGATTTCACCCCTCAAAAACATGTCTATTGAAGTGCTTCTACATTTTTACAACCATCAAATCACATCAATTAGTAAATAACTCTTTTTGTAATATTTGTTGTTTATATTCAACTTAATTTTCAGTATCCAATCATTTGCATCAGTTGTGTACTATAGTGAGGTCAGACTGCTTTGTTAGCTCTGCACGCCAGTCCATTTGGGTTCAAATATATTTCAATATCTATTTGATGAACTGTTTAAAAGTTGTAGCACTTTTTATACAGTTTTTATACAAGTCCCCCAATGCCTAAAGAGAGGGTTTAAAGGGTTATGAATACTGCACTGACAAACTGTGCGTGTCAGACGTGAACACATTTAAAACTTATGGTCATCACTTTAACCTCATAAGTAATGTACACCCAAATGAAAACACAGTTCTGAAATCTGCATCTGCACTACAGTTCACACACTGTGACTGCAGGGACGTTTCACCATAGATTAATCGGAACTAGTTCCAGTTACAACACAATATTTCTCTTTGTGTGTTTTTTTTTTAAGTTATTTTTTTGGCCTTTTCATGCCTTTATTTGATAGACAGCTGAAGATCGACAGGACAGGGGGGTAGAGAGAGAGAGGGGTGATGACACGCAGCAAAGGGCTGCAGGTCAGATTCGAACCCGGGCCGCT